TGCCAGCTATACCTGTCGCGGATTAGCCCCATGCACTCCTTCGTGGACGGCGACGCACCGGTGGGCGGAACGCCCGGCGCCAGCGTCGCCCCCCGGGAGGCGGTGGCGAGGCGCGCCAGGCCAAGCGCCCTGCAGGGCAGGCCAGAGGCTCCGAGGGGCGGAAGGTCAAGCCGCGCTTCGACAAGAGCCACCGCGTCGTGGAGGGCTGCTTCACACACAATCGCCGCGACATCAGGCTCTGCGCTGATTTCCAGAAGGGCCAGTGCACGCAGGTCGGGCCGGGCGGCCGATGCGCCAGGGACCCCAGAGCAGCCCACCAGTGCGCCAAATGCTTGGACCAGCGCCACGGGGCGTTCCACCCAAAGGAGTGCCATGCGACGCCCCGCGAGCCCCCGGCGCGCGAGGCCCCCGCAGGCGGGGGCCGCGGCCGCGGTCAGGGCCGCGGCCGGGGCCGCAAGTGAACGCTCGAACGCCCGGCGCCGGAGGCAGCGCCACCCCCGCATCCAATGACGGCGGCCAGGCCGGAGACGCTCGCGGGGAGTGGCGGCGCTGCGCTCGAGGCGCCAGCCTGGCGTGACGAGCAGAGCCGTCCGTTGGCGGCAGTACCTGTACATGTCCATGCCCAACAAGAGGGCCCAGTGCCCAATGATACTGATACCCTGATGCAGAGCGCTCAACGCCCGCGTGTGCTCGTGCTGTCTGGGGACGCAGACAGTCTTGGAGCGCGCCTGGACGAGCTCGGCTGCTGCGCGGACACCCGCCGCGTCAGCAACAACGGTGGTGTCCACGACATCAGGGAGGACATCGTGTTTGAGGGCGTCCTCGAGGAGATCCGGTGCGGCACGTTCGCGGCCGTTCACCTGGAACCCCCGCACACGACGTTCGACGTCTCCGTTCCTGGGCCGCGCGCGGAGGGGCGCGGGGGCGCGCGGAAGCGGCTCCGCGGCTGCGGGCCGCCGGAGATCTATGGCTTGCGTGGACTCACGCCGCAGGAGAAGGACGGTGTCAGGGGCGACACCTTGCTCGCCATCCGATCTTTCGACATCGGGAGGCTCTGCTCCGCCCTGGGCATTCCATGGAGCCTGCGGAGTCCAGCGCAGCCCCCGGGATCGCCATCGATGTTCGCGTTACCGGAGGCGGAGTCCCTCATGGAGCTCGCCGGAGTCGGTGACGTCACGATCGGGGTCGGGCCGCAGTTGTCATCAATTCTCCGGGGGTCCGTGCCCGCGGCTGGCTTCCCATCGGCCGTAGCCTCTGTGGAGGAGCTGCACCAGCGCCTGGCCGAGGCCATTCGTGCAGCGGCTCGCGGTGTTTCGCCCGCGAAGGATGCAGTCGCACCGCGCGAGACGGCGCACGGTCAGCCAGGGGGGGGATTTTCCCCCGGGGGCGCCCCGGTCACCTTCAGCGCGCCGCTGCGCGGGCCCCGCGAGGACCCGAAGCAGCGGCGCAGGGCGGAAGACGAGCAGTCCCTGGGAGGCTTGAGGAACGCCGCAGACGCCGTGGCGAAGATCAACGGCCACTGCCGCCTTGGGCCGCTGCTGAGACAGTACTTCGACAAGTTCCTGGACAGGCACCCGGACGTCGAGCACGACATCCTGCTCGCCGTGTCGCAGCAGGCGAGTGGCGGCGCCGCCGCCGACCACCGGGGCCCCTGCCCATCTTCGGTGGACACGGCGCGCCGCGGCCTCCAGCGCATCCTGCAGGCCGAGTCAGGTTGCGAAATCGACACAGGGGTCTACTCGACCTGCATCAGGGGGCACTTGCTTCACCGATGGGCGCAAGTGGCTGGCGACCCTGGCGCCGACGCAGCACGGCGGCTATGGGAAGGTGCCCCGGCAGGCCTCGAAGCGGACCCGGCCGCCGTGGACAAGACTTTCCCACGGCCCGAGGCACCGTTGTGTCCTGGCACGCCCCGCGACACCTACCTGCCGCCGGAGGAGTTCGAGAACTACGCCTCCTTCGATAGGGACGCGGAGGCCGCGGAGGAGGTCAAGGAGTTCGCCTCCAAGGGCTACCTCCACGAGTGCGACACGCTGCAGCAGCTCAGAGAGTATCTGGGTGCGGAGCCGGTGATTTCCCGGTTCGCAGTCAGGGTCCGCGAACGTCATGGTAAGATCAAGCGAAGGTTTATCCTCGATCTCCGGCAATCCGGAGTGACATCGTGCACGAGGCAGACTCACCGTGTCCCTCTGCCGCGGGGTCAGATGCAGTCCGGGACGTCCTCACCCACATGGCTGCCGGGATGGCCCAGGACGGCCGCGCAGGGGGCGAGGACATCGAATTCTTCATCCTCAACTTCGTCGACGCCTTCTGGAACATCCCTCTCTTGTTCGAGGAGCGCCGGCATTTTGTGGGCCGCGTCGGTCACCAGTACTTGGTGTACCAGAGGGCTGCGCAAGGCTCCAGGAACGGCCCTATGGCCTGGGCCGGAGTTGCATCGCTCCTCGTCCGGTGCACGCAGAGCCTGTTCATGCAGCCGGCGGCGGACGTGCCCCGGGCAGGGCCGACTGCCCGTCTGCAGCTGTACGTCGACGACCCTTGCACAGCAATACGCGGGACTAAGCAGGAGAGAGACAGACATATTTCACTCATTGTTCTCACATGGCTTGTCCTGGGCTTTCCCTTGGCTTTTCGCAAAGCCCAGCGGGGGGCAGAGGTCAATTGGATAGGATGCAAGTTCACTATCTCCTCCGACGCTGTGGTCGTCACGATTTCGAAGGAGAAATGCGACGAGCTCCAATCCATGGTCGTAGACTATTTGGGCAGGAACGTCTTGCCGATCAAGGAGCTGCGATCTTTCATCGGCCTCGCGTCGCACTTCGCCTCTGTCATTTGGGTGTGGCGCCCGTTTCTGTCCGAGCTCTGGGCGGCCCTCAAGCTCGGACAAGAAGAACAATGCGGAGACGCTCCAAAGAATTGCATTTGGACCAAGATGGTTCGACACACGCTTTGTTGGCTCCTCGCCTTCATGCGGCGCGTCGCCGGGTCCATGAACATCGTCTACAGGGCCGATGCGTTCTTGAACCGTGGCCCGAAGCTCAGGATCGTCGGGGACGCCTCTCCCTGGGGCATGGGCGCGTTCCTCATGATTGACGGCCGGATTTTGGAGTGGTACGCCACGCCGATTGGGGGGGCCGAGGCCGCCATCCTAGGCCACGCTGTCGGGTCGCACCTCGGCCAGCAGACGTGGGAAGCCCTCAATCTTCTCATCGGCCTCCGCACGTGGAAATCCCACTGGCAGCAGGCCAGGGTCACCGTCGAGGTCCGCTCGGACAACGCGTCGGCGCTTACGATGGTCGGCTCCCTGCGTGGACGAGGCGCGGCCACCAACCTCCTAGCGAGGTAGTTGGCGCTCGACCTCGGGGACGCATCGTTCAAGCCGGATTTCTGCGTCCACTCCCCGGGGGTCGCGTGCAAGATCGTGGACGCCCTCAGCCGGAAGTACGAGCCCGGCGTCGCGTTCTCGGTTCCCGCCCTGCTCGCCGAGGCCCGCGAGCGCACCCTGCCCTCGAGAAAGAACGACTTCTTCCACACGCTGGACAACGCCGCGGTGCAGGCGGCCATGGAGGAGGGGGCGCCGACCAGCGTGCGTGAGCCTGCTTGAGGCATTCTTTTTTTCCTTTTCCACTCCAGCTGTGACCGCGCGGGCCAGGCTCGCATAGAGGCGGGGAGGCCCCTTTGTCAACCCACCTGCGCCAGCGGCCTCGCATTGCAGCACAGGCACGCCTGTAAATGCATGCGCCGCGAGGTCGTCCATGTAGCGCCAGGGGGGGTCACTCCGTTAACCCGCCTGCGCCCCCGACCGCGCATGCAGTGCAGGCGCGCCTGTAAATGCATGCGCCGTGCGGTCTTCCACCTTCCTCCTCCCTCTCCCCCTCCCCTCTCACAGAGAGCGCTTGGGAGGGACGGGAAGGCATGCCGGGGAGGTGAAGTGAAATGGGCGGCACGCCGCATTTTGAAGCCGAATTTCGTGACATTTTCGTTGCGTCACGCAGGTTTCGGCATGTCGTCGCTTTCTGGGCCACGCTGCCCTGCCCACCCCCCGGCGTCGCGCTGTAGTGCAGGCACTGCCTGCAAATGCAGGCGGCGGATGGTGGAGGACTAGCGCCGTCGGCCCTCGGCTGCGCTACTGCCTCTCGCGCCGGTGCCGCATCGTAGCGCAGGCACTGCCTGCAAGTTCGTACGGCACGCGTTAGTCCAGCAGGGGGGGGGGCAGCAGGTAGCCCGCCCCGGGCTGCGTCGCGCCGTCCCGGAGGTCGTACTGTAGTGCAGGTATGCCTGCAATTGCAGTCGAAATGCGGTGAACTGGTGCCGTCGGACCCCGGCTGCCCTTCAACCAGTCCCGCCCTGCGTCGCATCGTAGTACAGGCACCGCCTGTAATTGCGTGCGCCTGCTCTCGCCGGACGCGGCAGACATGCTGCGAGAGTGCCGAGCGAGTCCTGCTGGCCAGCTCAGGCGACCATTCATCAGCCCGCTCGCCTGCGCTGGCGCCTGCTGTCCACGGCGCCTCGCTGTGCGGCCGCAGGAAAGACCTTCTGATGCCGGCGTGGAATAATATGCTGCCCAATCATGCTGCGTCGACGCCGCCGGCGTGGCCTGCTCTGTCGTCGCCCTCCCGCGTGACCATCGTCAGCGAGCCTCCAGGGCTCGCACTCATTAGGCATTTGGGCTCAGATTCATGGGCTCGAGCCTGTCGCGACGTGCAGGCGCATGAAGCGAGTCCGCATCACGTCAGGCATACAGCTGTTCATGGAGTACGCCGCCCTGCAGGACTCTTGACTCTGATCCTGGCGCTGTTTTGCAGTACTTCCCCGGATGCCGCCGTTCCAGGGAAAAATGCATGCTCTGGCGCGAATATCTTGGAGGGCGCGGACGCCCTCGTCGAGCTCGGCGCCGCCGCGCCCTTTGGCCGGTGAAGCGCCGGCAGGTCCGGCTCGAGGGAGAACACGGTCGCCGCCCAGGAGTTCCCCAGCGCCGCCAGAAGCACCCTCTGGCCAGGATGCTGCCACGTCGGTGCGGCCAGTCCCAGCGCCGACGACACCGCAGATTCAGCCTAGAGCGCATTCGCCTGAAGAGGCTGCCTCGGCGGGCCCTGCTGCTCGCTATCTCACTGGCGATCGCGCCGATGCCCCTCGACTCGCGGGATACCGCCGTGGGGATCGCAGCGGAGCGATAGGGGCGGCTGCCACGGCGGGGACGCGGCAGCAGGCACTACGCAGACTGCGCGACGCTCATTTCAGCTCCACTGTTACGAACCGTGACACTCTTCTGAAAACATGGGAGGACTTTCACAAGGAGTGGTTTTCTCATCGCTCCGAGGGGCCGGGAGGCTCGGTCCCTGTTTTCCCTTTGACCGACGAGTCCATCGAGGCGGTCGCGGCCATGATGAAGGAGGGAGGCTACCGTTCGTTCGACCAGTACATGTCCCGCGCAAAGGACAAGCATGTGGAGATGGGGTTCGCTTGGACGGACATCTTGGACAGTGCCCGGAAGCTCGCCAGCCGGGCGGCCAATCGCGGCTTGGGGCCCGCCCATCAGGCCGCTGCGTTTCCGCTCCCGGCGCTCATGGCCCTGGAGCTGGACGAAGCCGCGCTTGCCCGGGGAGGCCCGGCGGCCCCCGGGCGGGTGGTCGAAGCTGGATCGTTCTTCTGCCGCAGGGGGGTCGAGATATCGTTGGCTTTGAGACAGCACATCACTGCTGATCGTGAAGCTCCCTCTGTTACTTGGCTTCTCCCGAGCACGAAAAACGACCCGAGAGCCTTGGGGAAGTCTCGAACTTGGCCATGCGTTTGCGGGCCCCCTCGGCCACTCACGAGGTCTATGCCCTGCGCATGCTGTGCTATCCACCGTCAGCTGGACTTCCTTGACAGCAGGGGTTGGACCGACCCGTCGACGCCGCTGTTCCCCACAGAGACAGGCGGCACGGCTACCAAGGAGGCTGTGGTCAAGACTTTCGAAGCGATCGCTTCCAAGCTGGGCCTCCCTATCGTGGACCAGGGAGGCTACCGCCTGTGGGGTGGGCATTCTCTGCGAGTCACTGGGGCGCAGTGGCTGGCGTCGCAAGGAGTCTCTATAGCAGTCATTCAGCTTCTGGCTCGCTGGAATTCGGACGTGGTCTTCAGGTACGTGTCGGAGGCTCCTCTGCTCACTCTGGCGGATGAATATCGTCGCGCCCATGCCGCGCACCTGGTCCACGAGCGCTTCGCAGCCGCGCAGCGCACCATCGGGGAGCTGGGACAGCAGCTGGGCGCGATGAAGGACAGGGTTGCGAACATGAGCAGCCAGGAGCAGGAGGTCCTCGCTTTCATCAAGCAGTGCCAGGAGACGAGAGACAGGCGAGGCCCTCTCTTCGTCGTGTCGGATTCGAACGTTCACCACATACCGGATACTTGCCGATTCGTCGACCTTCCAATATTTAAATGGAAGGCGCGCTGCGGCTGGAACTTCGGCTTGTCCGACTTCTCCTACGCGGAGTCTGCACCTCCGGACCTGAGATGCAAGAAATGCATGCGGACCGCTGCGTGCTAATACCGGGCTCGCGTCAGTGCTCATACGGGCTGATTCGGATCTCTGGCCGGCAGCTTGACGACGCTGCCGCTCCTCCTCCCTCTCCCCCTCCCCTATAGATCAGATAAGTTAAAAAATTGTCCTTTTCGTGCGAAAGTTAGCAACTTTTCAAAAAGTTAACAACTTCCGGTAAAGTTAACAACTTTTTGAAAAGTTATCAACTTTTTGAAAAGTTAGCAACTTTGAAAGTTGTCTAAAATCTTGGAGATAACTTTTCCTGGCGGTTCTGACAACTTTTTGGTGCGGAAATGTTAACTTTTCGGTCGGCGGTGTGTCTCGGATTCGCAAGGGCTAGCGCCAACATTGCAGTTGCAGTTTCGTTGCAGATTTGTTGTTTTGTTGTTGCGGATTTGTTGTTTTTTTGTTGCAGATTTGTTGTTTTTTTGTTGCGGTTTTGTTGTTTTTGTTGCGGTTTGGTTGCGGTTTGGGCGTTTTGTATTGTGGTTGTGTTCCCGCCCAATCCCTCCAACCTCTATTGCGTTTCGGTATTGTTGTTTTCTTGTAGTTCTTATTGTTCCTCCCTATATCTCCCTGCCCCTCCCTATACCCCCACTACCCCTCCCTGTCCCTCCCGACGACGACGATGGAGAGAAGCAAAGCCCTCGCCCTTTTCGTCGCAGCGACGAACCGTCGCTTGCCCTCCTGCGCACGGGTGGCCGTCCTGCGCAGGGTCTTGCCGCAACCCTAGGGAGGAGGGGGAGGAGGGGGAGCGGGAGGAGGCGCCATCGCTAGAGATCGGCAGCGCCTACAAAAAGCGCCTAATATTGGGAGGAGGAAGAATATAGTGCCAGCTCGCTTGGCCCTCCTCCTCCTCCCTCCTTCCTCGCCCCCTCTCAAAAGGAGGTGGGGAGGAGGAGGAGGAGGATGAGGAGGAGGGGGGCCAGGAAAACTGGATCTGTACTCTTTTCCACCTCCCACTAATGCCACAGAGATGGCGTTGGAGGGGTGTTGGAAGGGTCTTCCTCCTCCTCCTCCTCCTCCTCCTCCTCCTTTTCCTCCTCCTCCTCATCCTCCTCAACCTCCTCCTCCACCTCCTCCTCCTTGTCCTCGGTTGGGGTTGGGGCGAAGGCGCGGCGCGCAGGGCACCTACTAATCAGAACTGTCTTGGCCTTTTAGGTCACCACTTGGATCCTCAGTCAAAGGCTCAAATTCAAGGCCAGAGATGTCGATATCTTTATCCTTGATCACAGCTAATAGCTTCGCATTGTTCCTCTTGAGCTTATGCACAGTCTTGATCGTACGCATAATCTCACGGTCCATCTTAAGAAGCGAATTGTTGAGCGAACTGATCACTGCATCTTTAGATTTGGCCACTTCATTGTGATCTGCCTCCACCTCGACGATGCGATTCACGGCAAGCGTTATAGTATTGACGGCCTGTTCAATCGTCATCATTGGACGGTCACTCATGGCTGGGGGCGGGATCTGGGGCCGACGCGAGGCGAGTAGCCGAGACGTTCTGCGAACCGAAACCGCTGCGGCATATCAAGAATGACACATTATATTGCACGTTGAAAGCGCTCACATCACATAGGCCACCTAACTTTTTGCGAAGCTTATCTTCGTGCCCTCGCGAGGCTCCCCCTGGAGAAGGGCTGCAAACCCTCCAGCCCAACCCACGAGGCGCCAATCGCGATTATCTTCGAACCCTCGGGGCGACTTAGATGTTGTACGGTTCGTGCAACATTCAGCAAGTATTGAATGTAGTCGCTACTCGGCGCCGCGCAACGAAGAGCGAGGCGATCGGAGGTTGCTTTTCTATGAAAAGCACTTTTCTGGGGTGGGGGTGGGCTTCTATAGAACCCACCCCCCACACACACAAACACCACAGTTTTTTCTCAGAATACAACCTCCTCTCGCTCGGCCCCCCTTTGCGCGACGCCGTGGCTGGCCGTCGGGGCTGTCTCAGTTCTTGGCCGTTTTGCGCTTCTTGCTCTCGCTGACCGCTGCGGCGGGTTTCTTCTTGGTCGTGCTGCCCGCTGCTGCGGCGGGTTTCTTCTTGGTGGCCGTGGCGGTGGCGCGCAAGATGGCGAGCTCCCTCTTCCTCTGCTCCTGGCGCTCCCTCGCGGCGGAGGCCCTGGCGCGCATGAGTGTGAGCTCGATTTCCGCGACCCGCTCTTGCAACGAGTCGAGGCGCCAGTGAACCTCACCCAAAAAAAACTCCCTCCTCCCCAGCCTTTCCCCTCCTCCTCCTCCTCCTCGTCCTCCTCTCCTCCTCCTCCCCCGCGCCCCGCTCCTGGGCGTTAGAGGACCACAGTGCTCCCCAAATGCCAGACTGTACCAGGAAATGCGTAATTAAACATTCACTGTCAAGGCAACTCCCCTGGGAATCGTTACTGGATGGCTGCGCGAAGCGTAGTAAATGGCCATCCCCCTCGACGTCCGACTCCGTGACCAGCTCGTCAACCCATTCCCCCCTTGTGTAGGACCACCTAGCAATGTCTGAGTTAGCCAATGATTCCTGGTACCTCTGGTGCTTACGGTGTTGTTTATCAAAGATGTCCTGGACCTTTTCCTCAAAGCTCTTCTTTGATTCAAACGTGACCGACTCAGGAGGAACCTTGTCGAACTGAATCCTGTCGCGAGCCTGGCGGTCCATGACGGGCCTAGTTGAGATGGGCGCGGGGCGAGGGGGGTGGTGTTCTCGGGTGTGTGGGGGAAAGGGGGGTTTTCGAGGGGACCAGAGGCTTCTGAGAAGGCCGCTTAGAAAACAAATGCTTCTTTGAAGCCTACCCACCTCGCACCGCGCCCTAAGGGAAGGCTCACTTATCACTTGGGCCGCGCGGTCGCGGCTGTTCGGTATGCAGAAGATTGTATTCCTTGAGCACGTTCGGTCTAATGGTGACGAGGATGTGGAGCATGATGGAGCGGGACGGAAATAGAGGGGACGCATTGGACCCTCAAGATGACCCCAAGATGGCCCAAGAGAGCCCCAAGACGAGCCCAAGAGAGGCCCAATACGGGCCCAAGAGCGCCCCAAGAGCGGCCCAATAGGGCCCCAAGAGACGGCTTTTCGGGCCCCGACGGGGGGCGAGAAAAATGCTCGCCCCTTTTTTGATCGATCGCTCCCAAGATGGCCCCAACAGACCTCCCAGACCCCCTCCAAAAAAAAAGCCCAAACGGGCCCCAAGACCCCCCAAAAGAGCCCCAAGAGTGCCCCAAAAGAGCCCCAAGAGCGCCCCAAGAGAAGTAGGTGGGAGGGAGGAAGAACAGGAGGATCAATGCAAAGATAGGAGGAAGCACGCCAGAAAAAAACTACTGTCGGTATGCTTCGCAACTGTCGGTATGCTTCGCAAAAGTTGTTGTTCTGGAATGGGCTGGTGGGGATACGCGAAGCGTGAAGAATTATCAATCGGCATTGTGCTAATCGTAATATGATGAGGCGTATATTGCACTGCGTAGCTTTCACCGCACATGCTACACTATGTAGATTACACCCACAGATTGCGCCACATATATTGCACCATGTTGCAATACATATTGTGTGCGCAGCAGAAGTCGCACCCCACAGGTTGCACCACATAGATTGAACCCCAAAAGGAGCACTGCATACATTTCAATATAGTGCACCGCATACATTGCACCACATAGGTTGCATAGGTTGCGCCACAAAAGTTGCACTACATTGCACCACATAGATGGCACCACTCAATTTGCTGCACAACAGTGTGTGGGGGGGCACGCTGGCTATTTTGTGTTTTTGCGCTCAAAGGCAATCAAAGCCACTCCGACGGGGGCGTCGCTAGGCAGTGCAGCCCAGTCAAGTACTTCTCCGCGCATTTATTGCTTATACTGAAAGGCGAATTGCCAATTACGCACGACTGCAACAACTCCTTGCTCCTGGCCATCATGTCCTCGCCAGCGTAACACCAGCCAGACCTTGGATTCTGATACCGTGCCTGGATGGCAGAGTGGCCCAAATAGTGGCTCTTGACGGTTATGTCAAACAATTTCTTGGCAGTGGGGGTTGCCGGCTTGAAATAGGTGGCGCAAGCGTTCTGCAAATTCAAGAAATCCCAAACACTTTTCTGATAGATATCAATATCTTGGATTGGCAAGATGTGAAGGCCTTTAGACCTGTCCAACACTTCATCAATCGTGATAGCGCACGTCAACGCTGCCATCACCATGGCGTGCTGCACATTTGCGGGGTCCGAATGCCTGCCCCAAAGGATCCGAAGGACTGGCAAAAAGCACTTGACTTCTTGAGCTTTTCCTCGAAGACGGATGGGTTCGTTACCCTTTTTTTTCACAAACATCGAAATTCTCATGTCTGAGTACGCTGTACCAAAGTTTCCATTCTTATATTCATGAAGAATCTCGGCGCGTAACCGTTCCATGTTTTTCAATGGCGTGTCTGGAAGGATCTTATGCGTGAGAAGGTACATGCAACTGCCAGCGAAATACTGATCGGTTCCCATGTGCTTCACGTGCATTACATCCACGCTCAAAGCATGATGCGTCACGAGCGTAAAAACTGGATGCTTGTTTGGAAACCTCGCATCGAAGTCAGCGGCCGAATGAACTCGGCAGACCCAAGCAGCATTGCTCGCAAGCTCCCACCACGGGAGCGTGGACGAGTTCGCGGGACACAACGCGCACGGAACGTCAGCCGAGTGGCTCGGCAGGTCAAGGTCTTCGTTCCAATACTTGAGGTCACCCTTGAGCATCCACAAGCACGCTCGGTAGCCCCCCGCAAGGGGCTCCCCCTGTTTACTGGAACCCTGGGGCCACACGCCGTCGAACAGGGCTAAGAACGACTCCAGCAGCCTCTTCCAAAACTCACGTTTCGACAATTTTGGAAAGATGGAATTGAACACAGCATAGATCATGAAATTCGTCGCCAGCGTAGAACCACGACCGAGCAAGCTTGACCAACTGAAAATGGTATAGGACTTTGCCCAGGGTTTCCCGCACCCAGACACTGGAACTCCATCGCCGTGCAGCGCCAGTGGAATAAACTTGGAATTCCAAGAAGGCACCGACTTCATCGGGTGCCGAATTA